TTGCCATGGCTCACCACTCGAAGGGCCACTTACATCGCTCATGGCGCTCACGACCGCAAAACGACTTAACCCCGGACGCCCAGCCGCGAAACTCTGTTCCCACACCGCTCTTCCACATGACCCCCCTTTGGTACCGCACGAGAAACCTCGCTCGCGCTGCTCCCCCCAGAGAGCCGCCCCCTGCCCAGTGCACCTGGCCCGCGGCCGCGCTGTCGTACTGAGCGACTCAATCGACCGACGCCCGTCATCATCTGGCCCCGGGAGAGCCGGCTGCAATCTGAGCGAGATCTGCGACGGCAGATTACCATCCAGCCCCGGGGCAGTTCCGCGCTCCGAAGCACGAATCAGACAGCAGAAGAACATCTCGAATACCTAGCCGATCCACGCACTGGGCCGCCCACATTTTCATCTTCCCGGCTGCGTTGCGAATTTCCTCGGGGCTGAGATCCACGCCGGGGCACTGCGCATCCTTGAACAAGTCCCTCGACTACCGGAACACCCCTTCGGGGTCCTGCAGAGGCTTGCTACGAAAGAATAAAGAAATTCCAGATAGCTACCAAGCCTTGAAAACTATGCACGATGAGCCCCCGAGGCCCGGGGGGGGGGGCCCGGCCGGGACTACGGTCAGGGGGGTTCGTTTAGCGTGTATCCTGAGGGTCGGTGGATACGCGCTAAACGAGTCCGGCGTTTAGCGTGTACCTTTTAGCTGGCTGTTTAGCGTGTGCCTACAAATGCTCGTCGATTCGTTTAGCGCGTACCTACGAATACTCGTCGGTTTCGTTTAGCGTGCACCTCTGTGCCTCGCCGGGTTTCCAGCGAGGCCCAGGGCGACAAAGGTAAGAGGCCCAGGACGACAAAGGCAAGGTGGTGGGATGGGCCGAGAAGCCAGAGCACCCTCCAAGTAGATGAGGGGGGCGTGGGAGGGCAGCGGCCGGGAGGGGCACGCGCATGGGCGGGCGGAAGGGGCACGCGCTAAACTGGCCCCAGCGTTTAGCGTGCACCTCCCCTGGCGGTTATCAGCGGTGCGTTTAGCGTGCATCTGGCTCGCTGAATTCGTTTAGCGTGTACCTGACAACCCGGGTCCGGCAGGGCTACGATACACGCTAAACGAACCCCCCTGACCGTAGGAACCACTGGGCGAGAACCGATAGGATGCATGGTGCACTGGCGGACCTCGCCAGCCCCTGCATGCGCTGCCCCCTGCAGATCGCCTCTCCACAGTCGAACTCGGTTGCTAGCGAGCCTCGTTTCAAGCTGCTCGGCGCAGCCTCCAGCGCGCCCGCGCAAAGAAAGAAGCGCCTCGGAATCAAACCAAGCAATATACCCTGCATCCAAACGCGCCCTAGACTTCCAGTCACCAGTACCTCTGACCTCTGGCGCGCCCAAGAGCATCTCAGCAAAGAGAGCGGCCGACTCTACCCGGCCCTGAACAGAGCCCCGCAAACGAACCCCGGCAAGCCCCCGAGCCCAGCACCCCCATTTCCTCCAAGCCCAGCCGAGGAGACAGGCCACAAGGTAGGGGCCCGCGGACGGGGGAGGGGCAGAGACAGCTTGCAGTTGCCAAACCTGTCCTCGGCCAACACATCGGCGACGCCCCCCCCCCCCTGGGGCGGCGCGCGCAGTCGGGGGGCCCTGCTCAACCAGGTCAGCGAAGCAAGAAAACATGCGGTTAAGCGGGAGCTGGTCTCCTCTGGCTGCCAAATCCCTGATAACTCCACCCCGCTAAACCGGTGGCGCTGGACGGGGTCCAATCGGGATCTCCTTCGGGAGCTTCTTGGGGCCCCTGAGCGCTGCGGTGCACTGAGGCATCAACTTCCCTCGAACGCGCAGCAAGCCAGGCCGGCGGGGGCGCGGCGCTGCATTCAGTGAGACTGAAACAACCAAAACGTCAAGCGCACGCCAATCCTTCTTTCCTGCCGTGCACGCGGGAGTACCAGGAGCACCGATCCGGCCTCCTAACTGACTTGCCCAGCCCTGCTTTCCAAGAAGATCGGGGAGGCACCCCAGCCACCTCCGATGATGCAAGGTGGCATAGCTGCATGTAGAAACTAACCCTATTTGCCAAGCAACAACGTCCCATCGGTCCCGAAGGGATCAGTAGTTGGCACATAGGTAGAGACAACAAAGAAGTCACCAGGGACCTCTGCATTAACCACGCCACCAAGACACGATGGGGAAAAGGTAATGGTTGAGGGCGTCCAGGAGGATTTTCCATTCCAATGCAAGCAGGGACTCCTATTGATACACACTGCCAGAGAGGCCTCCTGCTTCTGTGCCCCGATAAGGCCCAGTGAAAGCCAGCAAGCCCTGGTCCCTGAACATCTTCTCGCATTCAATATTGCGTAGCTGCGGCGCACCTATCTCCTGCAGAAAGAATACGAGGCCCCTTTAGTGCAAGGAGACTAGGATTTCCCACCTGAGCCTGAGACTGCCATCCGACATTGAAAATCGTGCCCAACAGATCGAGCAAGCGCCTCGACGCAAGAGACGCATGGCCTCCACAACTCGGTGTTGGTCGTTCAGATGCACATCTCCCGGAGGTTAAACCTTGGACTGCGAAGCCTTCGCCTCGCCTGCCCCACCTGAGGCTGGCCCCGCGGCCTTGCCTTTGCATGTGCCGTTGTCGGTGCATTGGGCGGCCTTCTGCGCCTGCCCGAAAATTGTCTCAACCGTCGGCGCTGGCGCCTGCGCCGCCGCATCGCTAGCACCTTGAGAGCTGGTGACGCCACTGTTGGCGTTGGCCTGAGCAGGCTGCCCAGCTCCCGCTCCCGCCGCGTCTGCAGCAGGAGTCTCATGCTCAGGGCCAGGAGCGCGTGCCTCACCGTCTGGACCGCGGCGGCGCTTGGCCTGCATCCTCTTGGCGAAGCTGCGCTGTTCCTTAACCATCTTGCCGCGGCGCTCCTTGAGCGCTCCTTAGTTGCCTGCTGGATAAGCGCGAGGATGGTATTCTTGCGGTCTTCCACATGATGTAGCACAGCTTCTGACACCTCGGCACCATCCAGATCGCGCAGACCGAACAATCCGTTGTCGTCCATCTAGGGAACAGCACCATCCAGCACCGGTTGGAAACTGATCATGGCTGTCGACATTGACCACGGACGGCTGCGGGATGACTTGGCCAGCCAACTTCGCAACCGTGTACTGGCACACGTTCTGGCACTGGACAGAGCCAGTGTAGGACTCAGCCGCATCCGCCCTCGTTAACTCAGTCTGCTCGGCCAGCTGCTCAGCTCGCCCAACTGCTCGCTCCATCTGCTACCGAGCTTGCCCCATGGCATGCTGCGTAGCTCCAACACTCGGGGATCTCGGCTGGGTCTTGGACTGCAGAACCGCAACGATGAGTTCGTAGCGTCTGGCGATGCGCCCATTCCCCGCCAGGGGCCTGAAGACCCGACTTGCCGACCTCGACCCTCCTGCTACCGCAGTGTTTGCACCACGGCCAACTGCCCTCGTTCATAGAACACGTGCAGTGGGTGTACACGTCCACCGCTTCCGCTTCTTGTGCAAATCATCGGAATTCTTCCCTCGATACTGCTGACGCCACTGGCCGCCGTTGAAGCTGGGCGGAGACATGGCTACGGTAGAGAAGCGGAAAGACTGCTGAAGAGATCACGGCCGCCGACGCGACTCGCCGTGGGTACGAATTTGGACATGCCGTGCCAAAAACTCGCGGCCCGCAACAGCAGTGCCGTTCTGAGGCTCGCTGTTGCAAGTTCCTCGTCCGAAAACTCAGGAATCAGAATTGCTCTCCTCCTCCTCCTCCTCCTCCACCTCCTCCTCCTCCTCCTCCTCCTCCTCCTCCTCCTCCTCCTCCTCCTCCTCCTCCTCCTCCTCCTCCTCCTCCTCCTCCTCCTCCTCCTCCTCCTCCTCCTCCTCCTCCTCCTCCTCCTCCTCCTCCTCCTCCTCTTCCGAGAGCGAGCACTCCGCAGTGCCGCTCCACGAGCGCACCCGCCCGGGGCCAAGTGCGAGCGGAGCCAATGGGGCCACGAACGAGGAGCAGGAGTATTTCCTAGGGAGCCGAACTCTATACACCGATGTTTTTTTGTTCTGGCCCCGCACTGAAATTCACAGGCAAGCGGATCCCGGTGCATACGGGATCATGGTGTAGACATGTCTCGCTGTCTCTCTGGGAAAGAACTGTGAGAAAAGTATGCACCACCACCCCGATGACGTCCCCGGCCCTCAAAAAGTCCTGGGGTTGAGAAAAAAACAGCCCGCCACTGGTAAGGCAGATGCTCCAGTTTCCAACCGCGGAGCCGTGGGGGCTGCAGCGGAGGCTAGTCCACAAGAGACCTTCCACAAAAAAGCCCAACCCTCAGACCCCAGGACACGCATCGATGTTTGGCGTGGGAGCGTCGCGCTTTCCGTCACAGGACAATCGAAACCCAAGAAACCCAGGGTACCCTGAAGGCGAGCAGGGTGCTTATTGGCATGGGTCTCCACAGCATTGTAGGTGTTCCAGCTTCCAACAGCGGCGCCATGTAGGAACAAGGAAAGGCGACACCAACACCAACAGGGCGAGGAGATGCGCGGAGGCAAGGGGGGTCTACCTGGTGGTGTGGTCCCCCCTCCCGCTCGAGACACCCCCAGTCTCTCGCTCGGGGAGGCATCGTGGACCTCCTCGCTGGAGGTGGGCCCCCTGGTGGTGTAGGTATCCTTTCCCCTCCCTCCGACCATGGGGGCCACGAGAGGCGAGGACCACGATGGACAGGAGCACCCAGCGGAGCGCCGCGGTGCCCGAGCAGTGGCAAACGCTGCTCGACGCGTGCGCGCCATCCTCTCGCGCAGGGGGCCGTGCTGATCCTCTCGGCATCGCTCCAGCGCTGGCTGAACGAGACAAGGGGGCCCCCGAAGGAAACCGGGGAGGGCCGTCCCAACCGCTGGGGAGGAGGAGGAGGAGGAGGAGGAGGGGGAGGAGGAGAAGGGGGAGGAGAGAGGAGGAGGAGGAGGAGGAGGAGGAGGAGGAGGAGGAGGAGGAGGAGGAGGAGGAGGAGGAGTGAGTGAGTGAGTGAGTGCGCTGGGAGGGCGTCCCAATCCGATAACCACTGAACTACTGCATTCAATGCTCCACTTCATGGGATTCATTGCCCTCTGCGAAGATATGGAAATAGCCCCCAGCTGCACTCTTGCAAGCAAGCTGGTCTTGGCCTACGGCGCCTCCCAGCTGCGGTCCGTCACAGCGAGGAAGGCCCGCTGCAGCGTGGGGGACCACTGTCCGTTCCCGCTGCAGGGGGAGGAACCTACCTTACTGGGCGCGGTCCCTCCCGTGACGCTGCATATTCAATCTCTCTGCCTCTACAACTAACTGCCTGGCATACTCACTTCCAGCATGCGCCATCCTCCTCAAATTTCCCATCACTCTAGAGTCAGTGAAGTCAATCCTCCTGCTAATATCATTTACCGTCTCACCTGCTGCAGTGCTTTCAACTGGCGCTCTGTCACACGTGTGAGCTCGTCCTTGGGCGCAGGTCCCTCCGCCTCCACCCCTCCCTGCTCCAGGAATGTGGCGTACATGGCCCGTCTGAAGGTCTGCGGGGAGGGCATTGTGTCCATCGCGAACTTCGTTGTCATGGCGACCTTCTCTAAGTCGGCCGCTGGGTTGACCTGGTAGGTGATCTTCACCTTGATGTTCTTCTCGTCCGTGCCGTCCTCGCTGTATGCCTCCTTCACCCTGAAGCAGCCGAACAGCTCCGTCAAGGCCGCCCTCCCCGCCCCGCTGTTGATCAGCACCTTGTACTTGCCTAGCACCTCCTTCGCACCGTCCTTGGAAACTGCCTCCAGCGCTTCCACCACTGCTGCGGCCACGTGGGTCTGCGGCGGTCCTAACCCATGTCCACGTCCCCGCTGCTGCACCTCCTTGTTGTACTTCAATCCCGCCTGGAGGCCTGCCTGGCTCGCTGGGTTCATCTTCCCTAGCAAGAAAAATTGGCATAACATGTGTTCGTGCTCTCTGCTGCGCTGATCCTGACGGAGCCCCATCTTCTGCAACGTTATCACCGCCTCTACGAGGTCGATCTGTTCGTCCCCTCGACCCTGCCGTGATCCTGCTCCGCGCTCTCCTCCCTTTGTCTTCAGCTGCTTCGCCGCTCTCTCTCCGCCCAGGCCGCCCTTGCCGCCCCCAGATCCCTCGCCAGGATTTCCCCCACTGCCTGCAGCTGAGACTTCTCCCGCTGGCAGCCTCCAGTCCGCCATCCGCCCGAGGTCTACGCTCTCCTGTCGGTCCCTCGTGATGAGAACACACGTGCGTATGAAATGCGTCCAGGTCTTGGGCCACAATGTCACAAACGGGACACTCGAGCGACGTGGGTGGTTTGACCTCATGTCTCCAAGGGCTGAAATTTACATAGCAAATCCTGTTGTCCTCACATGCTGCATACACGTGCTGCACTGCTATGTCCCTTGTACTGAAAGTACTTCTGCACCACGGGCACTGGTTCGTGATTGTCAGTAGGCTAAGTAAGGCCCTCTGTCCATGGACGCACGTTTTGTGTGTCGTCAGTCCGCTGTATGTTTTGTACCGTGCTCCACACTCGTGCAGTGTCTCATCCTCCCCCATCACCTTCACATCACACACATGTGGCTTCTCCTCCTCCGATATCACATCCTCTTCCTTACCCATGCTACGTTCATATTGATCTTGCTGCGCTTTCCATGCTTGCGTCGTGTACATTGTGCGTAAAATATTAATATCAGTCTGCATCCAGTGAGCCCTGTCCGTAGTACCTTCCTGCAGCAACGCTATGTCCGATAGTCGGTCATCGTACCAGCTCATGTCTTCACAGTGACTCCTGAGGTAACGAAGGTCCTGCAGGAACTGTTGTGCCCACGGGGTGCTGTCTGGTCCTATCCACCCCCCTTCTTTCATTCTGGGTTTTTCGTCCAGGGGGGTCGTGCCGAAGATGGCTCCAAATACTTGCTTATGAGACTGGGGGTTGATTGCCCATTTTTGATACATCTTAAGCCTTCGCACACGTAGCTCCCTTGCACAAGTATTAATATTCCACTTTCTGAATACAGCTCCTCTACATAACTGTCGCCTTTCTCCCTCTCCGTCCACCCACGAACTCTTACCTCTATCCAAGAATCTAAGTAGCTTGCACAACGCCGTGTCCAGTGCATCCGTATGCCTAGTTTCCAGCAACATCCCTGTGAGACCGCTCAGCGCTGCACCCTGCACAAAAGCAATAAACATCATCCTCCGTACTTCCCACGGTGAGTCCGATGCCCAAAAAGGCCCTCCCTGCCTCCACGCTCTTCGTACTGCCACTATCCTCCTTGCTATCTCACCTCCCATGTTGCCCGTGCTGTGCAGATATGGTCCGAGTACACGCAGCTCCCTCCCTGACTCCCCTAATAGTCCACTCTTCTTATGTCGTACCTGCCTAGTAACTTCATTTGACCCTGGCCCAATGATAGTAAGTAGATGCCCTGTCTTGGTAGGGTTGAGTCTCCAGTTGCCCTCCGATAGTGTGTCCTCCAGTCTTCTCGTAATGTGATTTAGCTCTGCACACACACCATAGGCCGTTACCGATCCCTCCCATGCAGACAGCTTTGTAATATCATCCATAAAGGTAACGACTGACAAGTTAACCTCTGCACCCGTCACTGGACACACCGCGGTCAGGAGCCGTGATGCACAGTTATCATCCGATTGTACCCACTTCTGCACTACTGGGTTGTAACAGTCATTGAAGTCGCGTGGCGCCAGGCAGAAACCCATTTGGGCTCCTGATCCACTGATCAGGTCTACCCTTTTGTCGCAGCCTGCAATACTGATTGCCTGGTGCTGGATCGCCCCTAGTGCAAGCATCTCGTCCCCCTCTCCAGCTTGTTCTGACGCCACCTGCTCCAGTAGACTGCGCTTCGTGCTCGCGAAGGCATTAGTGCAGTCAAAATTTGTCGTCACATGTGATACCTTGGCTTCACGACATCTCCACTGTGCAGTTTGTAGTGTAAGTATGGCCTCATCCCTCCCCCTGTATTTCAGTCCACCGTGCGCCCAGTCGGGCCTCTCCACTTTCTTAGATCTCCTATGTATCCCTGCATGCCATGCCATGCCCCAGCTGCAATAGCTATGCATCACACGTTGTCCTAAGATGCCTTCCCTCCCGTTGTTCTTGCTGCTGGCAAAGCTCTGGGCACGCAATGTATCCAGCGGCATGCAGTTTGCTCGTCTTACCAATAGGAACCATCTGTCCACCTGTTCTTGGAAGAACGGCGCCGAGAATTCTGCCTTCGTCGTTCCTACCCCTGCACCTGCCGCACGGCCAAAGCACCAGTGAGGGTCCTGTACCACCTCCTGCGCATCCTGCCCCTCCTCCCTCTGCCTCCTCCCTAGACTTTCTCCTGGCGACCACCCCATTTTTCTTAATAACGCCATTCCTTTCTTCATCATGCGCTGCTCCTGCTGCTTTGCTTGCTCCTCCTCATCCTCCTCCGCAGCTCTTGCCATTCTCTCAGCAACTACCTCAGAGGCCCTATTCGGTCCCTTCATGTTGATATTGGGAGCAAGTATCAGTAACGACGCTTCACTCGGCAGCCCCCACTGTGGCCAGGCCCTCCGTCGTTTAGCATGCCTGAGGTACTGTAGCATGGCTGCCTTGTCGCTCCTCACAAGGTGACGTAGGTCCACGTTATCGTACAACATTTCCTCCTCATCCTCCTCACACCCTTGCTCGTAGTCACTACGCACCTTCTCCCATCCTCCTTCTACCTCCTTGCACGACATTCCTCCCTCCTCTGGAGCTTTGCCTAACTCCCTCGCCCAGTCGCTTGCTGTCCAGTAGCAGCGTGGGGCGAAGTAGTACCGTTTTTGTTGGGCCATGTCCGTTTCTAGCATACTCTACTCGTAGTTCGTGCATTTCCGCCCACCTCCCTTTTTTGTAAGCCTCCCAGATATCTCCTACCAGCTCTAGCCGCCTTCTTCTCACCTCTATCCTTCTTGACTTCTGCAGTAGCGCACTTATCTCTTTCAACCTCTCGCTGACCTCCTCGTACTCCTCCTCGCTCCCGCTGCGTCCTCTCAGCTCCCTTCTTGTCGTCAGCAACTCCATCCGTGCAGCCCTCACCTCCTGTAACCACTCTGGAATATTCCGTCGGTTGGGTGGGAAGGTATCCTGCAGCGCGTCCCGTACAACCTTCCCCAGGATGTCCCAAAGTCTGTCGGGTGTCCTCCTACCAGCCGCTGCATCCCACTCCTCCTGTGATACCTTCTTCGCCCCCTCCTCTATCCTCTCGAACAGCTCCTCCCTGCACACTCCTTCCTTCACACATCTCATAAGCAGGTGTCGGTCCAGCTGTGGTGTCTGAGGTATTCTGACATAGTTCCTGCACTTCAATCCAAGGGGCAGCTGCATACCTACCGGCACGTGGTCCCTCGGAAACCGTGATCTGATCGTTTGCAGTCGCTTTCCTGCATTTCTTAGCGTGCTGCAGTGCTCCACCAAATCCCTTGCCCCCGCTGGTATAGCAAAGTGGTCGATCCTTCCTCCTCCTCCTTTTACTCCGTAAATTGTTTGCTTTACTTGCTTTGCGTCCGTAGTTGCAATAAACAGTTGATTCTCCTGACAGAACTGGCGAAAGCGCCTCCCATTACTATTTTCTGGTCGTGGCCATTCTCTCCCTACTTCACGACCTTGGGTGCTCCTCATGTATCCAGTCTCGTCCCTCGCAAGTCCGAAATCACTGTTGACATCCCCACCCACAATTAATGTTGTCCTCACACCCCGTCTGTCATACAATGACTCCATCCACGTGCAAATCTTTTCGGCCGTCTCTTCACTTCTCTTTTCAGTCGCTGGCGCAAAATACACTGCCACAAGTAGTAAGTCCTCCTGAGTGGTCTGTAGTCGTACCGCTCCTACACGGCCCTGCAAGGTCTTAGGGGGACAGCATACTTCCTTGAGGGATGACCGCGGGAATTTGTGTCCTAAGAGAATAGCTAGTCCGCAACTTCTGTTGGTATATTTCGACCCTGTTCCCCTTCCAAATTCTATGCCCCAGTGATTAGCAAACTGCACTTGGGTTGTGGGATGGTCTATTTCTGCCCTTTGTTGCGTCCCGCAGACCAGCACGCAATCCCAGGTCCTCAGTTCAGCACTAATTTCACATAATCTGTCGTGGTCTGCCGCCAGTGGGTTGTACGTTGCAACTCTTACCATCCTCCTCCCACCTCCAGTGCACAGATCGGGCACCGTGATGGCTGTCACGGAGTCTGCGCTTGAAGCCTTTTGGCCCGAGAGGCTTATCAGAGAGACAGAGATCAGAACACACAGCGCCATGCCCCCCCAAGCCCAGCTCTAAGCATGCTGGGTTCGCTGAAAAGGGCTACACTGGCTCCTGTCGCCAGCTGGCCGCCGCTCTCGATCTCTCGCGGCAGCTAGGAGGAGGAGGAGGAGGAGGAGGAGGAGGAAGGGAGGGTGTGGACGCCCGAGGCGGGCACGGCAAGCAGGGGCACGGCGCCCAGGCACCGAGCAGTGCGGTCCGGCACTGGCCGCGGCCACCTGCCCGGCCGCCGGCCCTCCCCCGCCTCCCAACGGACGACCTCTCCGCGTCGAGCTCCCAGGCCCGCAGAGCGCGCGGGGGGCGCCCCTGCGCTGCGCCCCCGCGGACGGAGGCGCGCCCTCCGGCGGCGCGCGCGGGGGGGGGGGAAGCGAGAGGGGGGAGGGGGGGCGGGCCCTCTCGGGAGGCCGCGGGGCCTCCTTGGAGGCCCTCGCGGCTCCGGGGCAGTCTTCTGGGCCTTCGCCGCCTTCTGGTCCGCCCTGCCCCCTCTCGTGTGCCCCTGGGGCCAACCGGTGTGGAAATGGGGGGGGCGAGGAGAGGGTGGAGGCGCAAGGAGCTGCGGCGAGGAGGAGCACAACAGACACATACGATGAGAAACCTTACTACAGGAAGAAATGCTGGGGCACAGGATTCGTCGACCTTTCAGAGCCCTACGAAGCCCTGAGCTTCTGTGGGCCCCTGGGGCCATGGGGGAATTACATATCCGTGTGGCACCTGCTGACAGGCAGGTTTCTTTTCAGATGTGCCTTCAGTGGGAGGGGAACTACAGGAAGGGGAGGGCGGCGACGACGGCGACGAGCAGGCAGACCCCGATGGCACAGCACTCTTGATCAGCTTGACGGCACAGCCCCCTCGGACACCCGCTCCTCCGCTTTTCGGCCTGGGGGGCACTTTCGGCCTGTCCGCGGCCCAAGCGAGGCGCCAGGTAGCCACCCCCCCCCCGTTTGGTCCTTCGGCCCCATGGCACTCACTCCTTCTGCAGGAACTCGGAGAACTTGGCTCCAGAGAGGATCGCCTTAGCCTGCTTCAGGGCCTCGACCTCCTGGCTGGCGGCGAAAAGGGCGGCCCCTGCCCCAGGAAGCCCTCAAGGAATGAAGAAATCAAACCACTGGGCAACGAACGCAGAAATCTAACAACGGAGGGTCTCCTCCCAGCCTGTCTCACAGGGGTGGGAAACAAAGGCACAATCGGCATAACCAACTCTTCGCAGAGATCTAGCCGAGAGCTGGGGCCTGGGAGCCGGAGGGCGCAGGGAGCATGTTGGCGAAACTGGGCCGAAGTGTTCCCGGGGCGCGTGGACCCCAGGGCTTTGGACGAATGGTCAAGTCGAGGGTGCGGCGCGAGCGCCGCGCCAAGACGGGCGGCCACGATGGCCTGCGAGAGGAAGCGCACGACCAGCTGATGCAGCCGGTGGATGCCCCATAGAACGGCCACTAGGTGGGTCTCTGAACCAGCGCCGTGGTGCATCGTCGGACGCACTGGCACACGACAGCCCGCGCCTCCGGGCCGCGCGGCCTCTGCCGCGGCCGACCAGGTGCGGCGGCGGGGCCAGACGAGCGCCTACGCGACGGCGCTGCTGCCAAACGCTCGCTGTCGTGCGTCGCCCAGATCGACCAGCGAGCAGGCGGAGCCCCCGAGAGCACGAAGAGCACCAGAGCCGCGTATGCTTGTGGCCAGGTGGGGCTAAGGCTGTGGCAGACGCGTTCAAGCTCGCTGCAGCATCCCCTGCGGCAGGGGCCTGCCTCGCCGCCTGTCCCCGCCCAGGTCGGGCAGATGGACACCTCAGCTGCGGGTGCGTCCCCAGCAACACGCGTCAGGCTGAGCACACTGCGGCGCGGTGGGGCCTACCCTGGAAGCGAAGGAAAGAGTGCGCAGGTCGTGCTGGCGCGCCTGCAGCAGTAGGCTGGGACAAGTGGGCACCAAAGGGCCGCGGCCGCGGGAGGGGAGGGGCACAGCGGATGCAACAAGTGGCGCGAAGGAGCCACCAGGCCAGCAGAACCCGTGCCTCAGGGGCTCTGAGCTGTCGCGTGCGCGCCACCGCTGGCGCCGTCCAACGTGTTCAGGAACGGCAGGTGCGGCGGCAATGCGGCGCTGGGGCGCCCCATGCTGGCGGACGGCCGCCTCCTTTTCCTCCTCGCGTTCCTCCTCGTGGTCCTTTCTCTCCTCGTCCTTCTCCTCCTCCTCCTCCTCCTCCTCCTCCTCCTCCTCCTCCTCCTCCTCCTCCTCCTCCTCCTCCTCCTCCTCCTCCTCCAACCCTTTCCTTATGGAAAACTCCTCCTCCTCGTCGTGCCCCCAGGCGTGTCGGTGAGGCGGGCAGGGCGTTTCGTCTGGGACCCCCCCACCGTTTATGATCCTGAAACTTGGGATGTGCGACAAATTCAAGGATGGAGGCGGGTGGTTTTCAAAATGTAGCTCTCGCTTTACCGCCGCGCACAGACGTCACAAAAGTTCTGCACAGCTTCGCGGATGGAAGGAGACTGTGTTCAAACTGTTGCTGTCGCCGTGGCGCCGCGGAAATCCGTTTAAAAAATTGCAACGATGGACGGCGGCTACTTGTTCAACGTTGGATCTCGCTTTGTCGCCGCGAACAATTCATCTGCAAAGTAACAGATATTTTCAAGGATGGAGGGCGTCTCCTTTCCAAAATCGGGTTTTCGCCGTAGAGCCACGAACACTCGTCTCATAATATTCGTATGGCTGAAGGTCCCGGAATGGTGTCCTGGCACGGTCCAGGATGGTCAGGGCGCAACGGTCACGTTGATACGCCGCGTGGGGGTCCCAAAAATGGTTTCCTGGTGCGGTTTACCGCCGCGCATATTCGTCTGAAAGGCTTACAACATGTACAGGGTCTGTGGACGGTTCCTTATCAATCTTTAAATCAAAAATCAGTATTACATTTGACAAAACGCCACTCTCGCACGGACGAGTTGCGACGTACTTTTCAAAGTGGGGTTTTCGCCGGTGCTTTCCTCGACACTCATGGCCGCAAGCCAACACCAGTGCAAGGGTTGCACAAAGCGGGGTGGCCTTTCTTCAAAACGACGATATCGCTGGACATCCTTTTGACCTGAAACATGATGCTTTTGCGCATTTGTCATGACAAATACAATGCAGGTAATTGGTTATCACAACGGGGTCCCCACCTGAATGCACAAGCCCATGAATTGTTGGTACTTCACAGGGGCGCTTCTTTAAGCGAAAAGGGAGATTGTAAGGACATACGGCGAGAGGATTTAGGACGGGAGCGTCTATTGCATTATCGTTGATGCATATTGGGTAGATTATGATCCTCCTCCTCCTGGTCCTTATCCTGATCCTGATCCTCATCCTCATGTTTATCCTCATCCTCCTCTCCCTCTACCTGCTCCTGCCCCTCCTCCTCCGAGCGCCGCGGGTCCTTTTGCCGCAGGTGCTCTGTGGTCGGAAACCGGCACACTCCGGGGCGCCTCCCCCAGGAGCGACGCACAGAAGGCGGCCACTCCCAGGGGGAGAGGGTGCGCTGGCCAGGACCTCGAGTCTGAACTTACCCGGGAGCGCCACAGGGACCCGCACGAACCGACAGCCCGCCGCGAGCCACGCCCGCCGCCGTCCCCCAGGTCGCTCCCACAGCAACAGCCGCCAGCCAGCCGGCGCGCCAGCGCGACAGCGTGCGCCGCTGGGCCCGCCAGCCCCCCCTGCGCGCTGGCCAGCGTCGCGCCGCCGCGCCCCGCCGCCAGCAGGCCGCCGTCCACCCAGCGCCACCCCCCGCAGCAGCAGCAGCAGCAGCAGCAGCAGCAGCAGCAGCAGCAGCAGCGGCGGCAGCAGCAGCAGCAGCGGCAGCAGCAGCAGCGGCAGCGCCAGCAGCAGCAGCGGCAGCAGCGCCGCGCCAGCCAGCGCCCCTGGCAGCCCGCGCCCGGGGCCCGCCCGGGCCAACGCGGTCGAGCAGCAGCAGCCCCGCGTAGGCAGGCCAAGGGGCCCGAGGGACCTGCCTGGGGGGCCCGCCAGGCTCTGGGGCCGCCTTCCTCCTCCTCCTCCTCCTCCTTCTCCTCCTCCTCCTCCTCCTCCTCCTCCTCCTCCTCCTCCTCCTCCTCCTCCTTCCTCCCTCCTCCTCCTCTCTCCTCTCCTCTCCTCCTCCTCCTCCTCCTCCTCCTCCTCCTCCTCTCTCCTCTCTCCTCCTCCTCCTCCTCTCTCCTCCTCCTCCTCCTCCTCCTCCCTCCTCCTCCTCCTCCTCCTCCATCCTCCTCCTCCTCTCCTCCTCCTCCCTCCTCCTCCCTCCTCCTCTCCTCCTCCTCCTCCTCCTCCTCCTCTCTCCCTCCTCCTCCTCCCTCCTCCTCCTCCTCCTCCTCCTCCTCCTCCCTCCTCCTCCTCCTCCCTCCTCCTCCTCCTCCTCCTCCCCTCCTCCTCCTCCTCCTCTCCTCCTCCTCCTCCTCCTCCTCCTCCTCCTCCTCCATTCCTATTCCTTATAGATAACTCCTCCCTGTCGCACCCCGATGCCGGTCGGAAGGGCAGGCCGGGCGCTTCGCCTGAGACTTCCTCACCACTCATGGCCCTAATGATTAAAAACTGCCAACAGTTTCAAAGATGGAGGGCGGGTGGTTTTCAAAATGTGGCTCTCGCCTTAGCGCCGCGTTCACTCGTTTACCAAAACTTGCAAGAGCTTCGCGGATTGAAGGCGGGTCGTTTTCAACATGTGGTTCTCGCCTTAGCGCCGCGTTCACTCGTTTACCAAAATTTGCAAGACCTTCGCGGATTGAGGGCGGGTCGTTTTCAACATGCGGTCCTCGCCTTAGCGCCGCGTTCACTCGTTTACCAAAGTTTGCAAGACCTTCGCGGAATGAGGGCGGGTCGTTTTCAACATGCGGTTCTCGCCGTAGCGCCGCGCACATTCGTTTTCAAAATTTGCAAGAGCTTCACGAATTGAGGGCGGGTGGTTTAAAACATGTGGTTCTAGCTTTAGCGCCGCGCCCATTCGTTCTCAAAAGTTGCAAGAGCTTCACGGATTGAGGGTGGCTCCTTTCCAAAATGTGGCTCTCACTTTAGCTCCGCGCACATTCGCTTTAAAGTTTTGCAAGAGTTTGACTGGTTCGCATGGTCCACGTGCTAGAAACATTTTTGTCGCAGCGAGTCAGGACTGTCAGGGCGCAACAGTTACGTTGATTCGCGGTGTTGGAGTCCCAGGAATGGTGTACGATTCAGGATCGCCAAGACGCAACAGTCAGGTTAACTCGTGGCGTCGAAATTCTGAGAATGGCGTTTTGGCACCATTCAAGATGTTCACGCGGCTGTCCCCCAACGTGCCAGTTCCCTCAATGGAAATGACCCCGTGCAGGGGCCTGTGAAGAGGGATATTGGAGGGAGGGTGCATTTCAACATCGGTAGTGAGTCTTGGGTTTACATTGGTCCTCCTCCTCCTCCTCCTCCTCCCCAACCCCAACCCCTTCTCCTAATGGATAACTCCTCCGTGTTGCACCCCCAGACGCGTCGGAGAGCGGGCTGGGCGTTTTGCCTGAGACTTCCTCGCCACTTCGGATCCTGATGTCGAAAATTTGCAACAGCTTCAAGGATGGAGGGCGGGTTCTTTCCTAAGAGATTCGCGCAGCTGAAATCCCGGAAGCGGTGTTCTGGCACGATTGAGGACTTCCAGACACAGTAGTGACGTCGATTCGCGGTGTTGATGTTCCATGAATGACCAGGGGAAACTTCTTTCCCCTCGAAGTTTGTGTTCCCCCTCCAGGGTGTCGTGGCTTTGTTTTCCTTCCCTCGGAAGTTGTTTTTCCCCCCTCGAGGCTTTTTTGTTGTTCCCTCGATCTTGTTTCCCCCCCCCCTCAAGGGGGGCGGGGGCGGAGGGGGGGCCAGGGGGTGGGTCCAGGGGCCTAGGTTTTCCTTCCCCTCGGGGATTGGGGCCGGGAAAGGCGCGCCGGGGAGGCCCAGCGGGCGCTCCAGCTCGGTCCGGGCCCGCTGGGGGTTCCATGTGCCAGCCCAACGGACCAGAGGCGCACGAAGATCGCGCGAGCGGTTTCTTTTTCGGCGTTTCGACATTGGGCGGAAGGGGGGAGGAGGGGG